AAACATATACTAATTATTTTGTGAACTACAAACACAGATTAGTGTTTACTACATTGCTCTTGACATCAACAGAGAAATGCAGAAGGTTTCCCAATCATTAGAATTTAAGAAATCACATTAACTATCAAATGGTGAAGTCATCACCATTGGAAACGAGAGATTCAGATGTCCAGAAGCACACCACTGGCCATCATTCCTTGGTATGGAAGCATCAGGTATCCATGAGACAACTTACAACTCAATCACAAGGTGCGATGTCGACATCAGAAAGGAGTAATATTAAACATCGTCTCCTATGATTGAATTTAATGTACCCAGGCATTAACAACAGACACGAGAAGGAGAAAGTTGCAGATGAGAAATGAAATGGCATAATCAAGGCTGTTCATGCTTGGTTCAATTTAATTATATTTGTGCAGGTGTTCATTTGGTTTACTTTAAATTATTATTGTTAAAATAAATCATAAAATATATAATAAATTTACTATCATTTTTATTATTCACAAGTTGATTAATTATAGTTTGATTTTTTAATTTAAATTACTATACAATTTATTATTCTTTTGTCACGCATTGTATAATGTATCCAAAACGGCCATTTTTCTCGACTTAAATTGATGTTTTATAGCGTTGTTTTACTATATAAGATAATTATTTTAATGTTATTATTGTGTTAGATGAATAACACACAAAATTAATAGTAAGTAGTGGGTTTTTATCGTAATATTTTGATGTTATTTGGTTCTCTATGTATTTTTAGTTTGAGTGGAATCCATTTTTTATTTCAACAACAATATTTTTGTCATGTTCTTATTTTATTTTGGTTTGAACCAATCTTATTGGTTATATTGAACCCAAATTGTTGCACTTGTTTTAAGTGTTTTTCATTTTGTTTTTGAAAAACTTGAATATCTGATAGTATTCTTTAATCAATTTTATTAACAATTTTATTTGTTTATAAAAACAGTTTATTTTCGTATTATTTTTATTACTAATATTAATTTGTTAAATTGCATATTTTATTGATTGAAGGACAAATCTTTAACAAAACCCAATTAATTTGAGTTTATGAATGATGAAATGTTTTATAAATAATTCAAAAGTTTGAATTTGAGTTGAACTATTTTATCAAATAAGTCAAAAATCATTCTAAATTGTTCATGAAAAGTCGCCATTATTTTCATTTTTTTTGGAAAAGTGAAATTATTTTTTGAAAAAAAAAGAAAAAAATAAAAATTTTTCAGTCCTCGAAGGGTTAAGCTTTTTGTTGCCAATTGTTTGATTCAAATTACATATAAACTATAATTCTATGATTCGGATTTTTATTTTTAAATGGTTTGAAATAAAAATACCGTTTCAATTAAATTTACAAAGAGTTGAATTTCTATTGAATTGTTTCAGGCGAATAGTAATCAGGCGAAAAATAATCGGGCGAGTTATCCGTTTCCCTATTCAAATTGTTGTTTTGTTTATTAAATTTTTGACAACAAAAAAAACAAAAAATGACTCATTGACAACACTCCATTTTATTTGTGTTTTAAACAGTAATTATAACAATATGTTATATTATTTTCTGAACACCTTTGTATAAGTTGGAAAACACAAACTTGTGACGATCACAAGTTTCTTTGGCAATTCGATTTCCATCAAATTGTCGCATTGTGTAAAACATGTTTTCCCATTGTAGTTAAGCTTTCTGGGAGTTCCACTTTACTCCATTTGATGCACCCCGAAAAGCAACTCTC